CACTTCATACTCATCAAAGGAAAATTACACTTAGAAGACGTCATCACAATTCTGAACATCTATGCCCCAAATACAAGGGCACCCACATTTGTAAAAGAAACATTTGATAAAACTTAAACCACATATAGATCCCCACACAGTATTAGTGGGAGACCTCAACACCTCACTCTCAACAAAGAACAGGTCAACAAAACAGAAATAAAACAAAGAAACAATGACTCTGACAGATGTCATGAATCAAATGGACCTAACAGACATCTACAGAACCTTCCACCCAAACACAAAACAATTTACCTTCTTCTCAGCACCTCATGGAACCTTCTCCAAAATAGACCATATAATTGGGCACACAGATTATATGGTCAACAGATTCAAGATTAAAATAATCCCTTATATCCTATCTGGCCATCATGGACTGAAGCTGGACCTCAACAACAACAGAAATAACAAAAAGAATAAACACACATGGAAACTGAACAAATTGCTACTCAATGACAGCTGGGTCAGGAAATAAAGAAAGAAATTAAAGACTTCCTAGAATTCAATGAAAATGAAGGCACAACATACCCAAACGTATGGGACACGATGAAAGCAGTGCTAAGAGGAAAAGTTCACTGCACTAAGTCCCTTCAAGAAAAAATTTGAAACATCTCATACAAGCAACTTAACAGAGCTCCTGAAAGCCCTAGAAAAAAGAAAGAAGCAGACACACCAAAGAGGGGTAGACAGCTGGAAATAATCAAACTCATCAATAAAATAGGAACAAATAAAACAGTTCAAAGAATCAATGAAACCAAGAGCTGGTTCTTTGAAAAAATCAACAAGATAAACAAGCCTTTAGTCAAACTAACTAAAAGGCACAGAGAAACTATCCAAATCAACAAAATCAGAAATGAAAAGTGGACATAACAACAGACACTGAGGAAATCTATTCAATTATTAGGTCTTACTTCAAAAGCCTATATGCCACAAAATTTGAAAATCTAAATAAAATGGACAATTTTCTTGATCGATTCCACTTACCAAAACTGAATTAAGACCAGGTAAACAAACTAAATAGTCCTATATCCCCCAAGGAAATAGAAGCAGTCATCAAAAGTCTCCCATCCAAAAAAAGCCAGGGCCAGACAGTTTCAACGCAGAATTCTACCAGACATTCAAAGAGGAGCTAAAACCAATACTCTTCAAACTATTCCACAAAATAGAAACAGAAGGAACATTACCAAACTCATTCTATGAAGCCAGTCACCTTGATACTTAAACCTCACAAAGACCCAACAAAGAAAGAGAATTTCAAGTCAGTCTCCTTTATGAACACTGGTCAAAAAATATTCAACAAAATACTACCAAACCGATTTCAAGAACAGATCAAAGATATCATCCACTATGACCAAGTAGGCTTCATTCCATATATTCAGGGGTGGTTCAGTATACATAAATGCATCAATGTAATCTAACATACAAAAAAAAGAAAAAAAAAAACATGATCATCTCCTTAGATGTGCTGAAACAGCATTTAATAAAATCCAACACTTGTTCATGTTTAAAGTCCTTGAGAGATCAGGGATACAAGACACTTAAACTAAACATAGTAATGGCATTATACAGCAAGCCTATAGCCAACATCAAACTAAACAGAGAGAAACTTAAATTAATCCCATCGAAATCAGCAATCAGGGACAAGGCAAGGCTGCCCACTCTCTCCATATCTCTTCAACATAGTTCTTAAAGTCCTTGCTAGAACAGTAAGATAATTAAGGAGATGAAAGGATTCAAATCGGAAAGGAAGAAGTCAAAGTATCACTATTTGTAGATGTTATGAGTGACCCCAAAAATTCTACCAGGGAACTCTTATAGTTGACAAACACCTTTAGCAAAGTGGCTGGATACAAAATTAACTCAAAATAAAATCAGTAGCCCTCCTGTATACAAAACACAAATGGGCTGAGAAAGAAATTTTGGAAACAACACCCTTCACGATTGCCACAAAATAACTTGGGGTAACTCTAACCAAGCAAGTCAAAGACTTGTATGAAAAAAAACTTCAAGTCTCTGAAGTAAGAAATAGAAGATATCAGAAGATGGAAAGAACTCCCATGCTCAGGGCTTGGCAGGATTAACATAGAAAAAGTGGCCATCTTACCAAAAGCAATCTACAGATTCAATGCAATTCCCATCAAGTTTCCAAGTAAATTCTTTACAGACCTTGAAAGAAAAATTCTCAACTTCATAACAAGAAACCCAGAATAGCTAAAACAACCCTATACAATACACATCTTCTGGAGGTATCTCCATCCCTGATCTCAAGCTGTACTATAGAACAACAGTAATAAAAACTGCATGGTACTGGCACAGAAACAGATTGGTGGATCAATGGAATTGAATAGAAGACCCAGAAATGAACCCAAATACCTATGGACACCTGATTTTTGACAAAGATGCCAACACAATCCAATGGAAAAAAAAGATAGCATCTTCAACAAATGGTACTGGTCTAACCGGATTTCTACATGTAGTAAAATGCAAATAGATCCATACTTATCACCCTACAAAAAACTAAAGTCCAAGTGAATCAAAGACCTCAACCTAAAACCAGACACACTAAACCTGTTAGAAGAAAAAGTGGGGAAGAGCCTTGAACTCACTGGCATAGGAGACAACTTCCTGAGCAGAACACCAACAGCACGGGCTCTAAGAGCAACAATCAATAAATGGGACCTCATGACACTGAAAAGCTTCTGTAAAGCAAAGGACACTGTCATCAGAACAAAACGACTGCCTACTGATTGGGAAAGAATCTTCACCAACGCTATCTCTGACAGAGGGCTAATATCCAGAATATATGAAGAAGTTAAGAAGTTAAACAGAAACAAACCAAGTAACCCAATTAAAAAATAAGGTACAGAGCTAAACAGAGGATTCTCAATAGAAGAATATAGAATGGCAGAAAAACACTTACAGAAATGCTTAATGTCCTTAGTCATCAGGGAAATGCAAATCAAAACAACCCTGAGATTTCACCATATACCCATCAGAAAGGCTAAGATAAAAAATAAAACTCAAGTGACCACACATGCTGGAGAGGATGTGGACAAAGGGGAACACTCCTCCACTGCTGGTGGGAATGTAAACTTGTACAACCACTTTGGAAATCAATCTGGCACTTTCTCAGACAATTAGGAATAATGCTTCCTAAAGATCCAAGCTATACCACTCCTTGGCATATATCCAAAAGATGCTCAAGTATACAACAAGGACATTTGCTCAACCATGTTTGTAGCAGCTTTATTTGTAATAGCCAGAAACTGGAAACAACCCAGTTTGTCCCCGAGTTGAGGAATGAATACAGAAATTGTGGTACATTTACACAATGGAATACTACTTAACAATTAAAAACAAGGAAATCATGAAATTTGCAGGCAAATGGTATGAACTAGAAAAGATCATTCTGAGTGAGGTATCCCAGAAGCAGAATGACACACATGGTATATACTCACTTATAAGTGGATATTAGACATATAATATAGGATAATCATACTAAAACCTGTACACCTAAAGAAGCTAAGCAAGAAGGAGGACCCTGGGTAAGATGCTCAATCCTCACTCAGAAAAGCAAATGGAATAGACGAAGAGGGAGAAAACAGGGAACAGAACAGGAGCCTACCACAGAGGGCCTCTGAAAGACTCTACCCAGCAGGGTATCAAAGCAGATGCTGAGGCTCATAGCCAAACTTTGGGCAGAGTGCAGGGACTCTTATGAAAGAAGGGGGAGATAGAAGACCTGAAGGAGACAGGAGCTCCACAAGGAGAGCAACAGAATCAAAATATCTGGGCACAGGGGTCTTTTCTGAGACTGATACTCCAACCAAAGACCATTCATGGATATAACCTAGAACTCCTGCACAGATGTAGACTATGCCAGCCCATTGTCCAAGTGGGCTCCCTAGTAGGGGGAACAGGGACTTGTATCTGACATGAACTCATTGGCTGGCTCTTTGACCACATCCCATTGAGGGGGCGCAACCTTGCCAGGCCACAGGAAGAACAATGCAGCTAGTCCTGATGAGAACTGATAGGCTAGGGTCAGATGGAAGGGGAAGAGGACCTCCCTTATCAGTGGACTTGGAGAGGGGCATGGGAGATGAGGGAGGGTGGGATTGAGAGGGAATGAGGGAGGGGGCTACAGCTGGGATACAAAAAGTGAATAAACTGTAATTAATACATAAAAAATAAAAATAAATAAATTGTAATAAATTTAAAAATAATTTTAAAAAAATGAAAAAAGGAGGTGAGATGAAATCAAAAAAGGAGGTGAGGTGGCTCTAGCATAGAACTGGTAAAACTTATGATATCAACAGAAAGGTATAAGTAGGGCCTATTAAAGCAGCATGACATGATATTTATTGCTGTTTACTTCAGATTCAGTCACTTAACCTTGCTGACTCTCCATTTTCTCATCTATAAAATGAGAACAAGGAGAAAGGACTACCTTTCGAGAAATCAGAATTCCAAAGACATCATCCATGTAAGACCCAAACCGAAAGCTCAGAAACACACTGAGTAATTTTTAAGCTGTGAGCTGAGCACAGCAACACAGTCCTAAAATCCCAATACTTGAGAGGCTGAAGCAAGATGATAAGGGAGCTTGGGGCTACAATGGACTGTTTAAAGAACTCAAAGCTAATCTCAAAAACAAAAACAAAATTCAACCACATGTACAGAACATACCTGTAATTCCAGCACTTGGGAGGTGGAGGCAGAGGCAGGCAGATCTTGTGAGTTTGAAGACCAGTCTGGTCTACACATTGAGATCCAGGACAGCCGGGACTACATAGTGTAATCCTGCCTGGGAGGGGAAGGTGAGGTTCAAGTACAGCCTCAGCTACACAGCAAGTTCAAGGCCAACCTCAAAATAAATAAGGAAATGAACAGAGTTTATTATAAAATACTATAAATACTGAATGTATAAGATTGGGAGCAGTATGGTAGAGGAAACTCACTGTGTCTAAGCTTCATCATGATGATCCGACTAGCTTGAAAAGAGAGATGTTCAAATCTGCCCACTTTCTTCCTGTTGGAATAGAAGCAGGAATTTGAAGAGAGACCCGGGAACCACAATTCTCTTTCAAGCCCCCTAAAGATAAAATAAAATGTAATAGAGCATGATCAGGAAGCCCTAACATTTGGGAAATTAGGAGAATGGGCTATACTGAACCTAGGGCTGATATGACTAGGCAGATGCAAGGAAATGGATATAGTCAAAGAGAGAAGATCAGATCCTCTCTTCCTCGATGGAGTCCATGCCTCCAATATACTGACAGGATACCTGTGGTGTCATATCCCAGGTAAAAGACTAGAGCTAAACACCTCCACACTAGGAAGGAACAGGTGACGTCTTTCTTCTTGGAATGGAGTGGTTTGCTTTTTTCAAAGGGGACTTCTACATGTCATCTACCCTTAGAGAGATGGAAAGGAACAAATCCCAAAAATCTATCTACCTTGGAGAAACAGGTTCTCAGAATTCTTACTTATGTCTGCATAGACTGAAGTCAATGCCAAATCTGGAGGGGAAAGGAGCATCTCACTTGTACATGTGGCTAGGGTCTGCATCCTGGCAATAGGAGAAAGGATATGTCATTTGTCCCTCTGTTCTTGGGTCACTGACTGAAAAGAAAAAGCAGCACAGTAACTATATGTCTATGTGTGCATCTCTGCTACATGGGAGAGCACTGGTCCAGATACTTCTTAATTGCTGGGGAAGGTGGAACCTAGGTCGTTTTACTCATCTGTCAGTGAGTGGAAAGAGTGTTATGCTTATTTCCAGGATGAGGTAGCATGAAGGAAAGAGTACAGCTTTGAATGAGTAGGGTCCACACACCTTTGCCTGATGGAAGCTATTCTGAATCCTTCCACAGGTGGTGGACTGAGACGGTGTGTATAAATTCCATGGGTGTTGGAGTCAGCAGCACATTAGTATTAAAGAGAATAGGGCCCCTGACTCTCCATATGGGCAAGGAATGGGAAGTCATAAGGCCATGCAATTATAAACTCAGTAAATTTGCTCCTACCTTAGGAAGTGTGTATCTATCCTTTTACCCTGGGTGAGAAGAAATCTGCCCAACAGTGGTGGTGTAAAACTTTAATCCCAGTACTCAGGAGGCAAAGGCTGAGGATCTTTATGAGTTTGAGGCCAGCCTAATCTACATCCTGGGCTACACAAAGAAACCCTGTCTTGTAAAACAAAACAAAACAAAACAAAACAAACAAGAACAAAACCATTAAGGGGCTGGAGAGATGGCTCAGTGTTTAACAGCACTAGCTGCTCTTCTAGACATCCTGAGTTCAATTTTCAGTAACCACATAGTGGCTTAAAACCATCTATAATGGAATCTGTTGTTCTCTTCTGTCATGCAGGCATACATGCAAATAAATTGATCACTCATATATATTTTTTAATCTTTCAGAGCTAGAGGGGGGTGACCTGCATCTCCACTGCTCACATGTCTCTCTCTTGGTCAATGTGGTGATTATAAATCATTGTGAGAGTGGAGTCTGTGTCTACCTCAAAAGGGAAGAGAATAAAGCTGAGTATCTCTACCTTGAGGTTGCCTTGAGAGGCATAACTTTCTCTCAGTGGTCTAAGGTCTGTCTGTTCCCACGTACGGTAAGCCACTTTGGGATGGGCCTTCAGGATGTCAGTAAACCAGTTCTTTATGGGGCATGTATGGGGTCTAATTTACCACAATGAAAAGTCTTTAGTGACGAAGGTGGGGGGGGGGGGCATCTGTGTGGTTGCCCTAAGCATGTGTCTCTAACCATTTTGAAGGCTGATATTCAGGCTGAAGGTGTGGACTGGCTACTCTGCAGAAGAGCAGGTCTCTTCCTCTACATGTTACATATTTCTGAACTCCACTATAGCAGTATGGGATGGACAAGGAGAAACCTCGATGAAGATCTGTACCTTACTAAGCCAGGAAAAGTCTCCACTGCACAGCCTTGTATTAAAAAATCATTTTCTTATAGGGCAGGTATGATAGCACCTCTCACCATTTGATGGGTTGACACCTGTCTCTACTGGGCAGTGCAAATAAAAACTTAATATGGAAGGGGACGGCTGTCTACAGGAGAGTAATGGCAGCAATGCGAAATGACGTCTAAATATCGTGAAAGGTGAAAAGGCATTGGACACTTCGTCTCATAGGGTATGGTCTGTGTCTCTCTACAGCCGCTCTCTGAGGCCGCCAGAATGCAGTTCAGCGCATCTCCACATGTGGAGCTCTTCTAGGCCCTTCTACCCCACAAGCGAGCTAGCTAGTCACCTCTCTATTCCAGGATGGCGAGCACCTCTGGTTTCACTTTTTAAAAAACGACTCTCACTGCACTGCTGGCCAGATGAGCGTTCACCACGAAAAAAAGAGGAAAGTTGCCTCTTACCTACACTTCCAGCACGGACGTCCGCGAGTTCCGGGAAGCACAATGTCACTGCTCGAAGAGCATGCAGCTAGGCTCCGCCCGGACTTCCGGATCCCAACCCAGCTAGTTTGCTCCCCCTACTTTGCGTACTGCGCGAGGGCGTGGTTTTGGGATAATTGCTGCGCTGAACAGTCCCGCCCCTGCTCCCACGCTGGCCCCGCCTCCCGGCTGCAGCGGATAAAAAAGTAGCGAAGAGGGCCCGGAAGCTTGGTGATGGTGATGGCGGTGTGTTTGTGTGCGTGTATTCGTGTGGTCACAAAAGCTATTTATAAAACGAGCTTTTTTTTGCGGCCTCCTAACTAGGGTTAAAGATACATCTCTGATCTCAGTCACCAAAATAGTCACTGATGGGGTTAGACGAGGGTAGGGGTAATGGTTTGTCCAGGAAGATGGCGATGGCAACAGATGGTACGAGAAAATGGCCGCCGGGATCACGTGTCGGTCTTGACGAGTATTTCCCACCTGAAGTGAGTTAATTAGCTGTTTTCAGCAGCTTTCCGCAGGAACGGAAACAATTGGGATTGTCATCTAGCAGATCACCCTCTCTTCTCCCTCATGAATGATTTCTGTGTCTGCAGAAAATAAACATTTCTAAAGCGAGGGTAGGCAAGGTGGTCTTAAAAAGCATTTCAGTAGGCTGCTGACTTAACTGGGAAGTGAGCTAGCCCTCCAAAGTATTTAAATCCTTCCTGATCATTTAATTCCAGTCCTATCTCCCTCCTCAAGCTTAAACCTTACGGATGGCATTGGGCTAGGTAAGGCAACACAACACTCAGGAGGGGTGTGTCTTCACTTTCAGCCCGTCCTTGCCTAAATAACCCCTTTTGCTCTCCTTCCCTTATAGGTTCATTGCTATCATTCACCGTAGACACGAGATTCCTCTTGACCCCCAAAGTAGCCACAATAGTTACAGGTTCTATTTCCCTAAAGCCTAATTCCTGTCACTTCTATGAAGTCTCTAAAACAGTTGTGTTTATGACTCTCAGTTGATTAAAAACCACAGCATTCCTTGCCTATACCTGTCTGGGGCTTATCACAATACTACGCTGTAGTAATTTTTCATTAGAGTTTTTATGTATTTTATGTGTGTGAGTGTTTTGTTTTATGTATGTATGTATGTGCACCACATACATGCCTGGTGCCTGAGATCAGAAGAAGGCATTGGCTCCTCTGTAGCTGCAGTTGCAGATCACAATCGAACCCAGATCATCAGCAAGAGCAACAAGCACTCCTAACCACCTGAGTCATCTCTCCAGCCCCTATCCTATCTGTAGTTCTTAATGTGACATCATCACCAGAAGAGAAGGAACTCCTCAGAGCTTTGAACTCTCAAGGAGACCCAGTACAACACTGTCTTCAAGCAAATTTAAGTGAAATAAGACCTTCACCACAAATCAATGAGGATTAAACAGTTAGTAGGTAGTACTGGAGAAATTGGATCAGGATAAAGAGAAAAATAAATGCCAGGTATGGTAGTGCATGCCTGTAATCCCTGGGAGTACAAAGCCTGAGGCAAGAGAATCAGGAAGTCAAGGTCAGTTTGCTTTGCACAGCCAGAGTGTCTTAAAAAGGGAATTATGGTTTTGAGACAGAATATCTTGTAGCTCAAGAGGGCCTCAGAATTTCTACAAAGCAAGGATGACCTTGAACTCCTGATTCTTGTCCATGCACCTCTGTAATAATATCATAAACATGACCACCACACCCAATTTAAATTCACACCCTCCTGTGGAACCACCCGAAAGCCTCTTGAATATTAGGCAAGCACTCTACCATCTGAACTACATCCCCAATTCAGTATCTTAAATGGTTGTCTCTGGGAGGAACATGAAAGGGCAGAGTACAGATGAAAGTGAATTTATGATACAATGAAACCGGTAAAGTAAGACAAGCTCATCAGGTATGTGAAAAACACAGAAATATAGGAGGATAAATTTTGCACATTTTTTTCCATTTAGTCGTTCTCAAAATGTGGTACTTGGACTACCAAAGGACATGATACATCATTCAAGAACTTGTTGGAAATGCAAATGATGTGAGTCAAACCCAATTTTCTTAACGAAAACCCTGGTTGTGGGAGAGCCATACTTAGTATTTTAATAAGCTAGCCTGATGACAACCTGGTCAAAATTAGAAAGCCATTTGTCCATACTAGTTGGTGGGGGGGTGTAGGGTTGTTTGGTTGGTTAGTTTGGGGTTTTGTCAACCAGCTAGAGTAATCTGAGAAGAGGGAACCACCATTGAGGAAATACCTCCACAAGATTGGCCTGTAGTTGAGTGGAGTGGGGGCCCCAGATATTTCTTAATTAGTTATTAGTATGGGAGAGCCACGTCCATTCGTTATGGGTGGTGACATCCCTGGACGGTGGGGGGGACAGGTTAAGAAAGCAGGCCGAGCAAGCCATGGTGAACACACCAGTAAGCAGCACTCCTCTATGGCCTGTGCTTCAAGCTCCTGCTTCCAGTTTCCTGCTCTCCTGGAGTTCCTGCCCTGACTTCCTTGGATGATGGACTGTTACCTGAAAGAAGCTGAAATAAACACTTTCCCCCACAAGTTGCTTTTGATCATGGTGTTTTATCACAACAACAGAAATCCTAACTAAGCCACTGCTGATCTAAATTTAACTTAATATTTTGTATAACTTTGCCGTTAAAAATTATAAACAAAAAAATGAATTATTTCTTTCTGGGCCCACAAACCAATGAAAATGTATAGCAAACACCCACAGATTTACTATTCAGCTTAGAGGATAAGATACAGTTTCCCATGGATACAGAGGTATCTCTAGAGGTAATTAACACCCTCTCTTTGTTCTCTCCTGGGTTTTGTTTCAATTTTTTAAAAATGGTCTCACTGTGTTCTGAGTAGGGAAATTACTGTTTCTGTAATGAAACACCATGACCAAAAGTAAGTTAGGGGAGGAAAGGATTTGTTTGGCTTACACTTCCTCTTAGTCCATCACTGAAGGAAGTCAGGATAGGAATTCAAGCAGGGCTGGAACCTGGAGACAGGTGATGAAGCAGAGGCCATGGAGGGATGCTTACTGGCTTGCTCATCTTGGCTTGCTTATCTTGGCTTGCTCAGCCTACTGTCTTATAGAACCCAGGACTACCAGCCTAGGTGATAGCACCACCCACATGTGCTTGCCCCCGCCCCCAATCAATCACTAATTAAGAAAATTACCTAGGCTTGCCTACAGCCCAATCTTATGGAGGCTTTTTCTTTTTCTTTTCTTTTTTCTTTTTTTTTTAGACAAGTTTTAGTAGTCCTGACTGCTCTGGAACTCTCTCTCTGTATACCAGGCTGGCCTAGAACTCAAGAGATTCACCTGCCTCTGCCTCCCCAGCATTTTTCTTTTCTTGTTTTTTGATTTTTGGGTTTGTTTGTTTGTTTGTTTGTTTGTTGAACTCACTCTGTAGACCAGGCTAGCCTCCAACTCAGAGATCTGCCTGCCTCTGCCTCCCAAATTCTGGGATTAAAGGTGTGTGCCACCACCATGCAGCTGAAACATTTTGCTTTTTGTTTGTATGTTGATTTTGTTTTGTTTTGTTTTGTTTTCTAGACATGATTTCTCTGTGCATTTTTGGCTGTCCTGGACTCAAGCTGGCCTTGAATTCATAGTGATCCACCTGCCTCTGCCTCCCTGAGTGCTAGGATTAAAGGCCTTTACCACCATACCCAGCTCTGAGACATTTTTTTTAAGTTAAGGTTTCCTTCTCTCAGATAAATGACTTCAACTTGAGTCAAGCTGACCTAAAAATAACACAAAATCTGGGCCCAGGAGTCTTTTCTGAGACTGATACTCCAACCAAGGACCATTCATGGAAATAACCTAGAACCCCTGCACAGATGTAGCCCATGGCAGTTCAGTGTTTAAGTGAGTACCCTAGTAATGGGAACAGGGACAGTCTCTGACATGAACTCAAGGCTGGCTCTTTGAGCACCTCCCCCTGGGGGAAGGGGGAAGGCTTAGCAGGCTATAGAGGAAGACAATGCAGACATTCCTGATGACACCTGATAGACTAGGATCAGAAAGAAGGAGAGGAAGACCTCCCTTATCAGTGGACTGGGGAAGGGGCATGGGAGAAGACGGAGGGTGGGCAGAATTGGGAGGGACTAGGGATCAGACAACAGCTGGGACACAAAGTGAATAAATTGTAATAAACAATTTTAAAAAAACTAGCCAACACACATTGTGTTGCCCAGTATAGCCTCTTGCTTTGATTTTCCCCACCCCAACCTTTTGAGTGCTAGGATTGCAGGCAGATGATCCATGCCTGGCTAGTGGTTCGCTTTTAAAGATTTTGTTTAGTTATCAAGCCAACATATATTTATAATGTATGTGATGTATTGTTTTATAGATTTTAAACTATCCATTGAGGCAGGAAGATTGCCATGAGTTTAAGGCTAACTATCTAGTGATTTCAAAACTGGTCTGTGCTACAATGAGACCTTGTCTCAAAAAAAGTTCTTATAAGTTTTGTATCCTCTTACAACTTGTACTATTTAGTTGTATTATTTTATCTTAATGTTTTTAATTTAAATAGATTTATATCACATGTTCTTTTCCTCCCTCCAGCCTCTCTCAGCCACCTTTCCTTAAAGCTGTGTTATTTCCCCACAGTTTTAACTGGAGTACCTGTTTTTCTTTGAGTATCGTTACATACATATATGTGTATGTGTATGTGTATGTGTAAATACAGTCAGCTGAGTGCATTTTTATTGTTTGTGTATATATGTTTTCAGGAATGATCACTTTGCACTGAACGACCAAAGAGGGGGCTCACCCCCAGGAGAGGCTAATTCTTCTCCCAGCAGTCATAGTTGCCTGTAGTTCTTTGTCTAGGAATGGAACACTGAGAAATTCCCCCTTTCCATGTTAGTCTGTCCGTTGATATTCCTGTTGTTCTGGTTTTGTTCATGCAGCCATTTCTAAGAGATACAGTTTTACATCAGACTTCCTGGTATTCTGGCTCTTACATTCTTTCTGCTCCCATTTCTACCATGTTCCCTGAGCCATAGATGCAGGAGCTGTGGTATACACCTATCCATTGGTGCTGGACTCCCCAGGATTTGTTGATCTCTGCATTTTATCTGGTTGTGGTTTTCTGTGATAGTCTATATTTGCTGTAAAGAGAAGCTTATTTGATGATGAGTAGTAGCTACAATTATCTGTGGGTTTAGATTAATATTTAGAATGTAGTAAGGTTTTGGTTTATTCTGCTGGTTTAGCAAGTTGTAGATTCTTTTATATGGTCCATGACCTCACTAGCCTGGGAAGCTGGGTGTGTTTCCAGTACAAAGCATGATTTTCCTCTTGTTGATGTATCCTTAAGTTCAGTTAGACAGCTGTTGGTTACCACCAACACGTGAATGCCACTTATTATGCATGTCTTACCATGCTGGTAAATATGGTGCATACATGCAAGGTAATGTTAGTCAGCTATAAAGAAAAATGAAATCATGAATTTTTGAGGTAAATGGATGGATACAAAAAAGATTATATTGTGTGAAGTAGCATAGACTCAGACAAATGCAATATATTTTCTCTCATCTGTGGTTTCTAGCTCAAAAGCCTCAGATGCATACAACATGTAGTAATCACAGAAACCAAGAAAGTATAAAAGACCCATGGGTAGGGGTAGAGCGGGGCTTGAGAGGGGACTAGCAGGAAGCAAGTGATATAAAGTGGGAAAAGGAATAAAGGGAAGGACTGCAACTGGGGAGGAAACAGGGAAGTCAATACAGGAGGAGAGGAAGGACAAGGGGCAACATGAAGGTTATTTGATAAGGCATCTAGGAATCATTATTTTATACTTACCTAAAATTATATTATATATATATTATAGTATGTATTATGTCTTAAAGGAAGTTAAACCACTTGAGCTGATAGTGTTCCCTGCTCATACCATAGCCCAACTAAACACCAGTAGCAGGCATGAGAAACCTTTTTCCAAATGATCAGTCATGGTAGTCCAAGTGACTCTGAAAACAATATAGATTTTTTTTTGTTTGGTTTTTCCAGACAGCCTTTCTCTGTGTAGCCTTAGATGACCAGGCTGGCCTCAAACTCACAAAGATCTGCCTGCCTCTGCCTCACTGAGTGCTGGGATTACAGGTGCCACCACACCTAACACTATGGATTAGATTGTTGATGTAGCTCTTGGTTGCCTCTCAGAGCATGAAGTAAACCCCTATTACTAAAGATACTGTACACTTAAGGAAAACTCATATGATTTGAGCTGGATGTGACCTGAAAGCCTCTTTCCTGTAGTCTATTTTCATGCTTCCAGAAAATAACTATACAAGCTACCAAGGGAGGAAAGCAACTAAACAGCTCTACTCTATTCAGCTGCATTTCCTTTGAGTCACTAAAATTACCAGTGTTTTTTTTTTTAATTTATTTTATGTATATAGTTGTTTTACCTTCATGTATGCCTATGCACCATGTGCATGTCTGGTGCCCAGAGAGACCAGAAAAGAATTTCAGATCCCCTGGAGAGGGAGTTACTTACAGTTGTGAGCCGTCTTTTACTTTTTCTTTTTCTTTTTCTTTTTTTTTTTTTTTTGTTGTTTTTGTTTGTTTGTTTGTTTTGAGACAGGGTTTCTCTGTGTAGCTTTGGCTGTTCTGGACAAATTTTGTAGACCAGGCTGGCTTCGAACTCACAGAGATCTGCCTGCCTCTGCCTCTCAGTGTGCTGGGATTACAGCCATGCACCACTGTGCCTAGTTAGTTGTGAGCCAACTTGTGAGTGCTAGGAATCGAACCCCAAGCCTCTGAAAAAGCTATCAGTATTCTGAACTGGTGAGTTATTTTCGGCCCCCTTGTGCTTTTTTTTTTTTTTTCTTTTTTAGTACTAGGGTTGAATTTAAAGCTTAGTGAGTAGTTACTAGCATTCTACCATTATGCCAACCTTACCCCCACTCCTGCAATCTGGGCTACAGAATGAGTTCAAGACTCTGCCTCAAAGTTTCAAAAATCAAAAAGCAAGCTGATGATAGAGCTCAGTGAGAGAGCACTTGTCAAGCATGTGCAAGGTCTAGATTTCAATCCTTACTACTACAGAAAACCCCAGTAATTTATTAATGGGGTTAAATATGGTCTAGGTCTGGGGCTATAGCTCAGTGGCAGAATATTTCCCTAGTATGCACAAGGCCTTGAATTCTATTCCCAATGATTCCTAAAAAAGTGAATGCAGATTCATGCATATATCTATTTCTTGAATACATATTCTGTATACAAATATGTGCGTGTCACATTCTCAAATTACTCAATTATCCTCACAGTGCTTTTAAAGCTACTTCTAGTTTCTGATCCCAGTATCTCATCAATGTGCATGAATTACATTTAATCTGTTTTAATGTATAATTGTACATTTTGTGGTGGTTTGTATGTTTTCCTTTTAATTCCTGTACCTGTTCTGTATTTTTGTGTGTTTCAAGTAATATTGTTTTTTTGATAAAAGACCTCAGGTACCTATGGCTAGTCTTAAGCTAACTGTGTAATGGAGGATGACCTTGAACTCCTGATTC